GCTGCAGCAGCCCCGGCGCTCTCCGGCCCCGCCGGCGGAGGGGGGGTGCCTTAAAACGAGGAGAAAAAACAAACAAAAAAAACCAACAAAAAAACCCACCCCACTGTGCCTTAAAAAAAAGGTTGAATTAAATAAAGAAGCTTCTCCTCGGTCTGCTTGCCTGCTCTCCGGCGTGTCCTGGGTTATGCTGGCGCTTGGAGGCTGGGACGGTGCTCCGGAGCGGCTCGCGGACTTAGGTCGCTCTCGCTCTACCGGCGCAAGGGAAAGTCTCCAGCAGCTTTGCTGTGTTCCTGCTGCTTTATGGATGTGTTTGTTTTGGTGTTTAGTTTTGTGTTGCGTTTAAACGGTGACATTTGCATCGTTTTGTCGTGTAGCCCTGCAGAGGCACCTGCTTCTCCGTAGGTGCTGCAAGGAGCAGAGAGGGGAGACGTTTTCCTGGAGCGCACGTGGCCTTTGGGAGGCTTGGCTTTGCTTTGCTTTGTTTTTTCCTGCCCCAGCGCTGGACTGCGGCTGCGGGGTGCTGAGATCCTACAGCGCGCTGTTCTACCCAGAAACTGTAGGGGAAAAAAAAAAAAAAACCCAGCTGTTGCTGTTTGTTTGTTTTTAAATCATAACATTTCAAATTTGTAAATTTTGTGAGAGTCTAAACTATGGATATAAACTATGTGACAGTAAGAGCGGTGTATCGTGTGAAATAGTCATGGATGCGTTAAGCGGTCTTTTTGGTGGAGCGCACCTAAGCTTTAGTATTGAACACAAGCGGAGCTGCAGAGGCCGCGGATTTCCCTTTCCGTACGCGTGTCCGCCGCAGGGCCGGTGGGCTGCTGCGTGGCTTCCCGGTGTCACGGAGGACAACAGGTATTTGGAAAATTCTCAGTATGCGTAAAAAGAGGAAAATAAGGCAACGTTGTCAGGGAAACCACAGCAGAATCAGGTCCCTTTTCAGCTTCCGTCTGAGACAGCGGATAACCGGTGGCATTTTTTTTTCCCATCGCTTCAGTCTGATCTGGGTTTTGCTGGTGAAAATCAGGGCGCTCTTCACTGCCCAAGGAGGCTGCCCGGCGGAGGGGAGAGGGCTTGCTTCGGAAAGGCGTGAGTTAAGCTCTGGTGCACAAAGACCCATGAGTTCAATAACGTATTTTTGGCTATCGCTTTGGCCGGTTGTTGCGGCAGTCGTGTGGTTTAACCGTGTGCTCTGAAATCACGATGGCGATGACCAGGACTGCCTCTTTGAGTGCTGCTTGTCATAGACGTGCTGATTCGGTTTTGTACTGGCTTATCTGTGTCAGAAACTGCCTTACTCGCGCAGCGGAGAAGAGCTGGAGTGTTAGCTTAGTGTCAGATAGCCATGTTTAACTTTGTTTAAAAGTATGACAAATATATCTGTTGAAAGTGCAGTAATTCCTCCGACTATGGAACGTATTATTTGCGAATGTTACTTATTTCAGAGTGAGTGAATGCTTTGTTTGTGGTGGCTGGCACAGAAAGTCCCGAACCTCTAGCGCGCTTAAATCTGAGATGAGGAGAGCGTGACGGTTTGAGATAAGGCATATCAATTTAATCCCCCGCTTGGCTGGTTCAGTCTGAATTGTGAAAGGAGGGGAGTGGATTGAAGGCGTGCTGCCGCTTTGTGACCATTTGGGGGTGCTCCTTGGCGGCCGGGATGCCCCATGTTACACACGAAGATAGGACAGCCTGACCGCTGCTGCTCCGTGGCTCACCATGATGCTGCTTCATCTTCGTGCTCACCGCTGGCTGTGACTTCTGGTGTCTAAAAAGTACTGTTGTAACACTCATCTTCATCACAGCAGGCTGTGCGGCTTATGGATATAGGAAGCAAGGAGAAATTGCCCAGTTGGGTTTTAGTAACCCCTGGTGCTTCCAGCTGAATTGCTAACGGTGGTTGTCCATGAGGTCTGTGGGATGTTGTGCAGCAACACGGCCCTGAAGAGCCGGCGAGGGCCCAGGGGAAGGCATGCTGAGGCCACCCCACTGGGCCCCTCCTGGTGCTGGGGAGATGGAAGGAAACATCCAGCCAGTGGAGTTCGGTGAGAGGGGTTTACCCTGGGGTCCCAGGCTCTGCTGCGTGTCAGTAACTCCCCCCAGGATACCCATTGTGCCCTGATCCTACCCCGACACGTTCTTGTGGCTTGTAGGATCCCGGGAATCTGCTGCCAGGACTTTTTTCTTGCAGGCGAAAATTCACTCCCAAGTCAAGGCTCACAGCATCATTTTGAGAAAAGCTGCTGTCCCAGAGATGCAGTAATTGAGGAGTGCTGCTCAGACAGCCAGGCTTTGCTTGTAGCCACAGGGTCCGAGGCTTTGCAAATTAGTTTCTAAAAATGCAAATTGGTTTGGAAGAGAAGCACCGAGGTTTGCACGCTGCTATTCTGGGAGGAACACAGAGGCTTTGCTACGGAGCCAGCAAAGGAAGACGGAGGCCCTTCTTGTGTCGATGGCTGCACTAGGACACCTCTGGCAAACGCCTCTCCTACTACAACGATTAGCACAGCCTAGCTGTGATGGCCTGAAAAACTGTTGGATATTGGCATTGAGAGATGCTTTGTTCTCTCTACTCTGGGGTTTCATTGCATGACAGCAGGCCTGAGGGTCCTCCCCTGTGCTAGGTAATAAAACATGACCCTGTCTGGAATAGCAGGACCTAGGCAGGTACGAGGAGATATTGCCTCCGTCTAGATGAGGATCTCGGACACAGAGGTGCAGAGACTTGGTTGCAGTCACAAACTGAGAGCTAGCAGAGCCAGAAGTGCTGTCTGTCCACCTATGTCCCTGTCTTGTGACTCAGCAACAAAACTGTCCTTTGTTCTTGGGTCTGTCCTTCTGAAGATCCATCACAATCTCAAAAGAGTGGTACATTCCCGTGTAATGTAAAGACAGAGGAGGTTACAGTGTCTGTCATTCTTTGGGCAGGCGGATAGTGGTAGGGAGTATCAGAAATGATCCAGAAACTGGATATTTCCTTCTCTTTATGGATCCCATGTTCTGGTTTGTAAGGTTTAAACAGGATTTCTAATATATTATTTTTACCTGGCTTCTTAACAGTATGATAGTTGTGCGATGACTCTGTGTGACTGCCTCTGCTGTTCTCCTTTCCCTCTCCCTTACTTTCAGACCTAGCTGGCTGGTTTTAGCTGAATGTGACTGAGGGTTTGCAGTCACAAAAACCTGAGGCTGTTTGGAAAGTGTGTTGAAAACATGCCAGGGAGATCCAGCCAGGTAGAGGACAAACCTCTACCTTTAAAATAAGGTAAAAGCTCTGCTGGCCAAAAGGCACCTCAGACCTGCTTCTTATTTGAATGACGTCGGAGGATCCGCCCAGACAAAAGCAGTTGTAAAGGGGAAAATTTTCAATAACA